AGATGTCGTATGCGCTGATTCTTCTGCCGACTTTTCTGTTAATACTGATTAATCGCATTTCCAGAAAAAGATGACGCTTATTCGCGATCTGCTGAAAAGTCGCCAACTTATCGCGGCTAAACGGCGACTTTTTCGAAAAACGCGATAATCGCCAATTTTTAAACGACATTGAAGACATGGGCACTTACGAGGGAACCATCTGAGGTGATACCTCCCGTTTTCATTCATTCATATCTCATTTAGTTGAGTAGATTGAAATAGTAAAAACCCTAAAGGGGATTTTCCCCAATCTCATTCCTTCAAAAGTTATCGACGTTTTCCTATTTTTACCCTTACACAAGATGAAAAATTTTTTAAATGACAAATTAGCAAAATAAGTCAAAGAGATCTGAAAGTTTGACTATATATGGACAAACTATTTTAGTGTGGCGTATTAGACGAGTGTATCTGTTTACTAGCGCCTTCTGTTATGTGTTGATATAGCTCTATATAAAGGAATACAATACTACTACTATCCGTTTCAAAATAAAAGAGACTCCACTGTAACTTGAATAACGTTTAATAGGAAGAAGATAGAAACCTACGGTGTTCACCGATGGGAAGAGGAGACTTGGGGGCATCGAGACATGTAAAAACAAAAAATATCAAAAACTTATAGTAGCTTTTTAGAAAACCGGGTTTTTGGAAAACCTGAGGTTTCCAACTTTCTGATACATTTATAATTCTGATGATGTCAGTTGATAGCCCACACCTTTCTCTATCGAATAAAACAAACCCGACATTTTTCTGACCTTCTGACGAGAAACTGGACTTGATGCACCGGAAGCCCTAAAATGCGTAGTTTTGAGTAGTAGTATTGTATTCCTTTATATAGAGCTATATCAACACATAACAGAAGGCGCTAGTAAACAGATACACTCGTCTAATACGCCACACTAAAATAGTTTGTCCATATATAGTCAAACTTTCAGATCTCTTTGACTTATTTTGCTAATTTGTCATTTAAAAAATTTTTCATCTTGTGTAAGGGTAAAAATAGGAAAACGTCGATAACTTTTGAAGGAATGAGATTGGGGAAAATCCCCTTTAGGGTTTTTACTATCTCAATCTACTCAACTAAATGAGATATGAATGAATGAAAACGGGAGGTATCATCTCAGATGGTTCCCTCGTTAACGGCTTCTATAAAAGTAATTATCTTCGCAACCGTTGAGACGTCATTGATGAAACTTTCAGAAAATGTTTAACTAATAGTTATTATTCCTTACCCAAAATTTCAGCTCAATCCGTCCGGCGATAAAAAGTCGACTTTTTCAGGTGTCTCATAATGTCTTACGTGAAATGGCCGCAGAGAAGAAGAAAATGGTAACGATGTGGAATAGATCATAGGTCGAGAAACCGCCTCGCCATTACGGCCGAGCTTTAGAAAACGCGATAACAATTTCAAGGCTTCGATTTTTACTTGTTGTTTAGATCTGTTCAGTTGAGGACTTGTGAATATTATGGGATGTCAGCTGATCCGCAATCGGCTGCTCCCTTTCGGTTTAAATGATTAGGACTCTGTCCATTTTGTGCAGCACCGCCGGAAAAAGTAGGTGCAGCAGATGGACTACGCTGAGAATTGTCTCTTTGCAGGAAACAATAACTTGCACTCTGTCCAGTTTTTTCTGCAAATAGTGCAAGGGGCTCTTCAGTCTCTTCTCCAATATCTATTTTTACGACAAATTGGACATGGTCCTGGAGGTTCTGTATTGCGACGTGCCGCTGATGGATTTCAACTATTAAAGTTGGCAGAATTATTTGCGGAAAAAGGGAGATGTTATTTGTTACGAGTCTGATTATCAGTATTTCATTCATTCTATTATCATTATTTCATTCATAAAAATCTGTTTGCCGATTTTGAGGAAAAGTTGGTCGATTTTTATCATTATTGGTTAGCAAAACAGGAGATTTAGCTATCTGATTCTCTTGACTAAAAGAATTTGTTGATGGAGAAGACGATGCGTCAAGTTTAGCAACACACCAACTGATTTCTCTAGTGTTTTCAATCGCACGAGCTGCTGAGTTAATGATTTTGTTAATTCTTGCGGGTTTTCTTCATCCTTATCACAATCAGAATTCGTAGAAAACCATCTATTAGGCAGCGATCTTTCGATTTCCTCTTTTCCTCAATACAATAACTGTATCTCAACTTCTTCGACCTTTTTTGAGCATCTCGCCCCGGGATATCCTTGCCGAATCACCCTTCATCCAAAGAACAAGTTTCGGTGTCAGTTTTCGAAGAAAGTATTTTTTTACTCAGTTTTCTTTGGTTTTTTGAATTATCTTCTAAATTTAGACCCAAACATCTTTGATAGAAGCTTACTACCTTATACCTCTGTTCTTTAATCGTACAGAAATATGTTATATATTGTCGAACTTGTTCTTTGGGCACGACTCATGATTTGACTGGGTTGTAAATTTTCTAATTTTACGTGAAAATAGGTAAAAGTGGCTTATTTTACCTAATACACTACGTTCTGGAATTTTTTCAACAAGATCGGGTCCACATCTCAGAATCAAAAATCTGAAATGTTTGGTTCGATGGCCTACGTTTTCAGTCGAAAGATATACGGGGCTATGCCTTTTGCCTGAAGCGCATTTTTCGACAGAATCATGTCTCCCGGTGTCCTGTATCGATTACTGAAAGCTGCGAGTGACTACTTCTTTCCCTTCAGAAGTTATCGAGAAATGTCCAAGTGCCTCGTATTTTGAAATGGATACGATCATTACTATAGTATTTTTCGTACATGAAACTTTAGCGAAGGTTATTATTAGCAATTACACATAATACAGCACTCTTTCTTGAATTCTGGCTTGAAGGTAAGCACATAGCCTAAAGTCTGATAACGTCTGCTTTCATGGCTGTAAGCATGATATTTGAATTGATTGGTTTGCAAGTTCTAATAAACACGGTCAAGAAACATTAATTCACCAGAAAGACAGAAGAAAGCATAGATGGCGAGAGAACTGCAGCTATAAACTTTTCGTGGCTATAAAGAATGAAGACGAACAACTCGTTCTGGTTGTCTGATAGTTAAAAAAAACAATATTCGAATTATCCACCTAAAGCGAAGGTACACACATACAGAAAATGTTGTCGCCGCAGTTTAATCGAACAACTTCTAGATTGAGAAAACACGGCGAAAACGCTTCGAAAATTACAAAAGCTTCTTGGCCATATTTGTCTAAGTACATGTCCGTACTCTCCATTTTATAACAGTTTGTTTTCTCAGTGCATGAGGTTGTACCAAGGAGGGAAAGCGGAATGGGCCATTTTTGACCATTTTTTTCATTCTACACTTTTGACAGACTTATATATTATCCATTGTGTATTTTAAGGAACAATGTGTTTGTGCCAAGGCGGAAAAAGCGTTTTTGCAATAGTATGGAATGGCCGGGAATTCCAAGCTATTCTGTACCATTCCAAAACGCTTTTACTCCCTTGGGTTGTATTATTAGTCAGTATTCTCAGTAAACTTTTTGAGCGAAAAACACATTTATTATTTAAAAATATACGCGCAACGAGTAGCGAAAAACAAGACTTTTCAGTTTTGCTTTATTAATTACCAGGAGAGTGCCCAGTTGCTCTCACGAATTACATCTCTGAGAGTCACTCATTGTGGCACTACGTTTTTTTCCAAGGGTTCTTCCACTATGTTCGGCAACAGAGGGCTGCTTTCGCCATTTTCTGGTACGTTTCTGAGCAAAGTTAGGAATAGTCCACACAGCACAGACATAATAGCCGCAATGTATAACGTCCACGCAAAACCAATCGAACGATTAATCAGACTGCTTGCTATCGAACCTGCAACACAAGACAAAAGAAACGAGTATTTAAGCAGGTATGATTCGTCGACATTTACCCGCGGTCAAACCCAGACAAAGCCCACTACTACCAATAGCATATGCATTGGCATAAATGACTGATGAATATCGTTTATCAACAATACTACCTATTTCAGGCAACATTGTCGCCTCAATCATACTTTCACCCAAACCCAAAAATGCCATCGGTATAAACAACATATAAAATGATTTCATTTCAGGTATCTAAACGATAAGTTATGTCTGACATTTACTGAGATGTTATACAGTACACTGTTCGTTTAATATTCATAACTATGATGGTTTACACACCTGTTTGGGTATTTATGCTGTAGACAACACGAACAAGTGAAGTTTCCGGTTTTTGCCACAGTTTTCAATGTTTTAAGAAACAATTCAGACTGGTAGATATGGAAGCTTTATAATTTTAATTGAGCATACAAAATGTTAAGCCATAACTAAGGACCAATTGGCCTGTCTTAACCATAGATCAAAATAGTATTGCATGAAACAGTCATGTGTAAAATGTCATATGTCACATCGACGGTAGAGATGTACGCCGACGCTGCTCACTCAGAATTTTTAATCTCATCAATGAAAAGTTGATGAAATGATGTAGTTTGAATAGAAAATAAAAATAGGTCTGTTATCTTATTATAATTATTACTATATTGTCATTTTGCAACTAGTTTTGTTTTACCTGAATGACTGCTTTCTCTCTAAGTTGGCGCATTTTAATTAACGCTCACTGGTAATGTTGTTGTAATAGCAGCGGAATGTCTCAACAAATAAAATCTGTTTACAAAATGTGTTAACGTGTTTACTGCCTCTACTGTTTTGTTACAACTTTCCACCTTCTCTGGCTCTTCTCGTCTTCTTTTGCGTTTGTTTATTTCGTACTTGAGAGTAATACTAAACTGAAGCAATTACGCATGTCCGTATATGAATAAATTACGAAACGTTTCGCAAGCTTCATAATTAAACGGAAAAAAGGCGCCTTTTCCTTCTAATGTTTTTCTTTTTTCATCTCTTTACCTGAAGCGATGTTGTTACTTTTCTTATTCTCAACGCTTTGTTGACTGAAAGTCCTCTCTCCATTTTTATTCACATTCACGTTGTTAATAAAAACTGATGAAAGATTAGATTTCTGATGGAAGACTTGAAGAAACATATAGCAGATTCTGATTTTTGAAGTCAACTTTGTTTATACTAACTGAACTTGTTTTACAACCGCTTTATTTTTTACAAACAAGTTTGTTTAGTATAAACATCAAGCTGTGTAAAATGTGGCCTCCTACCGAACTCTAACACGCCAAAAGAATTTTCCTTATCTCCGCAGTCTGTTTCACTGGAAGAAGCACTAAAGACAAATATCAGACGTTGTTGCTAAAAGCCACAAACTGACGCTGGATAATCTGAAGCACTATAGAGTGCATGCAGTCAGCCGTAAATATAAATTGTTTTGAGTATTGGATAGGTAATGACAGTTATTTCCAATTTGGTTTTAGCCCGTCTTAATAGATTATGGCACTTGCGTCACACCACACTATCGTCATTATGACGAACGCACTTTTGTCATAGATAACAAAAGTTCCTTAGAGGAAGGTACTCCTCGAGAACTGTCACCATCAAAGTGTGAATATCGTCACATACACCAAAAATTTCGTTGCATAAGACGAATTTTCGTCACAATAGTGGTGAACTTTGGACTTCGATCATATTTAAAGAATGTTAAATACAATATTTCCTTAGCAAGTAGTTACACAATAAGTGCATAAGTTTTGAACGATAAATATTTATTCACTGTAAATACTTGATAAGGAAGTAGTGCAGTGTAGTAAACACCGAGTGCAGCTCTTACTGAGGGAGTGCTCCCGATCACACAGTAATCGTACAACGCTTGATTCTATTCTATATTTATGGCAGTATTTATTATTATTCTCATGTGTGACGAAAGTTAAGTAGGAACGTTAATAATAAAACCGTTAATTTTTCTATGCAGGTAGGATTGCGCTCTATCGATCTCACTTATTTACCACTTCATACAATGTTTTCCCTACGTCAGCTAGGATCATAATTAGTTATCAACCAGCTTTCCAATTTTTTCAAATTAAATTAAATTTTTAACTAACGGTTTCAATTGAGAAACTTTGCTTATATACCAAAAGACGCAGAATTTAATTCTGTGCGAGATAATAAGACTAAAACCCTGCGTTCGGAACGTTTTACTGCTTTTATAGCCAAAAAACTAAAGTCTGTTAAAAATAGGTTCAAAAGTTAGATACAGCGACATTACCGCGAACAGCCATTATGTCGACATAGACCATCGGAATTTTTCCCCCAGCTATAGCAGGAACTGAAAATTTTTGTCAATGTCGACATAGACCATACGAAAATTTTTCAATCCCTAATATAGTCGGGAGAAAAATTCCTATGGTCTATGCCTAAATAATGGCTGTTCGCGGTAATGTCGTGTCGGGAAAAGTTAGTTTTTTTAAGACTTATCAGTTTTTGCACAGAGAAATATTCATAGAAGATTTAACTGCAAAATTTCAAAACGCATGTGAGAAAATGCAGCATTTTCCGGTGAATCTTCTGATGCTTTCAAAATTCTTATGGAATCTCTTTTTAGTTCAAGGTGAGTGTTTTTCTCTTTTCAGGTGTGTCGCAGTTCGACAACTCAGCACCCTACAATATTTTTAATGCTGCTCAAACAAGAAAAATGCTGTCGGAGGTTGAAATAAAAATAAAGAACAAAAATGCGCCGTTTGTTCTGATCCACCCGTTACAGCCTCCCTATGTACGAAAGTGCCTTTTACCGTCTTAATATGGCACCTTACGAAAAATATCAATTAAATTCCCTCTTTGAACCTTTACGAGAGGAAATAGAGATGGATGAGATAGGGCTAGAGGTCGCTCGTACGCCGTGGAAATCAGTATATTTAAGACAGCTATAAAATAGTATTAATGGAAAAAAACGGTCAAATAATTGACTATTAACGGCCAGTAATGGTGCTATTAAATGCCTGTTTTGATATTATGTAACAGTTACTATTACACTTTAAATGTCAAGAGGTACCAAGATGAGCGTTGCTTTTCCTAATGTTGAAGCTGTTTGATGAAAACATTTATTTTAGACTTACAATTACTAAAGAAATAGCTGCTATCATGGAACCAATCATAGCACATAGCCAACTAAAACAAAAGCGAAATATAATTTAGATTGCAGAATAAAATGAATATGATCATTACCGTCCCATTTTATTCCCAATTCTACTAAAAATAACTATTCCAATAACGGTTGAAACACTTGCGGGAAGAAAAACAACACCTACGATAAAAATATACTCATAATAATTTACTGTTTCGCGCTCGATTTAAGAAGTTTCATGGCTGTAATGAAGACGCCAATGACAATTAGTCGATAAGTTATAGATAAAAGCTTTTTTATAAAAAACGCGTGAGTCTAAATAAACAAGTACAATGACTATATTAATCTTGCTGGCCCTGTGATTTTGACGCCTGAAGTCTGTTTGGATTCAGATGAAAGCCTAAGATGAATAGAATAGTCCGCTAGTGTAGTGGTTAATACGTCTGACCGATAATCAGAAGTCTGGAGTTCGATTACCTAACTCGACGGTGGTGCTTTTGCCACTCTTTCGCGATATAACATCACATTGAATGAATTCGTCGAGTAACAAAGTCTATACTGTTCTAAAGTTTATATCACGGATACGAACTTTATCAGGAGCCTTTTTCTACAGAAGCTTTTCTTCTCTCCAGAGTCTGCCTATTAAAGAGGAATACGAATTTGGTAGTTTTCGTACTGAATCTATTCTGTACACAAGACGTTATCAACGGCTTGACCAGCTAACGGCCTCCATTTTTTGCTCTTTTTCAAAACGTTATTGCAATTAAGCTATAAACCAATCTAAACTCACAACTACGTAATTAAGTAGATCAAACATTTCTCCACAAAATGAAAAGTGTCTCGGCTCTGAACGTTGATTCATTATGAAAATACAGCTGTTGTGCAAACAGGCCCAAAAATCGATTTTGTGGCTATCTAAAAAGCGTGTGTAAAAGAGTGAAGATGAGCTGGCAAAAATTGAACAAGTATACCACTTTGTAGAAAATTGTTTGTTCTACAAGATGCGATAGACATTTAAGCTATTGATGGGTAATAAACGAAGTAAAAGTAAGATTTAGCAGAGTGCATAATTTCTGATTATAAATGTTTTGGTTTAGGATCTTTTGCACAATCAGAAATTGTGTACTTTGCTAAATGCGGGAACTGCAACCATAATTAGGTTGGAAAAACTGTACGTCAGAGTGTCAGAAGCAGGCATGTAACGAATTCAAATAATTCATCTCAAAGATGAAATATTTTTTACATGAAGAACCCCCGAACCGATCGAATCTCAATGTGAAATATGAACAGTTTTGTGTGCTCTATCCGATCCGTTCCTGATGTTGGATTTCATCTAGTTTTTAAAAAGATACCAAGATTCGGTAGGATTCGGGGAAATTTTGCATTTTTTTGGCATTTTTCACCGAATCCTACCGAATAGCGTCCGTCAGAGTCATTCCAAACGACGCACAAAACGGCTTCAAACTCAACCGTTGACACCTGCAGCTAGACGATCTTCTAGACTTCTAGCTAAAGCACACACTGTTGATGATCCAGTGAGTAAGGCTGAATGCACGGACGAAGGTGAAAAAGATACAAAAGAAAAATCGGCCTTAGCCAAGCATGAATCCGAAACTGGACATAAGGTTGATTCGATGAATTTCAAAACACTATGGAGCGATAAAAATCCGTACAGATCGCTCATAAAAGAGTCATTAGTGATTAAAGCCTATGAACCTTCTGTGAATTTGACAACACATTCAGTACCAATGATTGTGTATCCGGACGACTTGCCGAGAAATATAGTACCTGATCCTAATGGCTAAGTTTATATAACATCTATGTATTATCCATTTCAAAAAAGAAAAAAAATGGCCATTTCTTGAATAACTTTTGATTAGTATGCGATGAACACAAACGGTTAGTACCGTTAGAAAGCTCAGAGTGAAAGAAAGCTCGATT